TATTGTGTTTATCCATTGTTCTATAAATTGAGGAAAAAGAGATGGAAGAGGGAAACATTCTTTACTTCAAGATAAAGAAAAGACAATGAACTACAGGATAAAAAGTGAACACTTGTCCAACCAGATAAGGCGAACAGAATATAGCAACATTAGCGAGACCTCCCACTTGAGACCTTCCTTTTTCCCTCTTAAAGCAGCACTCTGAATTTAATTAAATATGGATTTTTTTTTTGTATTAAAACTAAATGTGTCATTGATTTAATAACAATTGTTTATTGTTAATGCAGTATTCAAAACAGGGACTCAAAGCAAATCTCTTTGCCATATTTTCTACAGCAACAAAGCAGCTATGATTGATCTGAGCATGAAAGTTGTTACTGGAGGCTGGCGAACGTTCAGATAATGAATGGTTAATAGCTGCTTCAAAGCAAATAAAAATGGCTGTCTTTGGCAAAGGAATATTCCAATGACTGATCCCAAAATTCACACACTGTTGTCGAAACTGATGTCAGTGTGAGCGATTCTAGGAATCGTTGTTGGGATCATTTTTAACGAAGTGACAGGGTCTTTCTGTTCCAGCAGTGCCTGGAAGGTCATATGGATGATTCCCATGATCTGACAGATCTTCTGGATCAATCAGATTAATTCTTTTGACAACCATTGTCCTAGAATGGCTCACTGAAAAGGGATACAGATGAGATATGCCTTAGAAAGTGCGTAATAGCCATAAAAAAAAGGAGTTCTGCTCAAGTTCTGCTTCACACTCTGTGAAAGCTCATTTGTATTTCCATGCTACACTGGACACAATTCTGCACACAACAAAAGAGCATGATTACTCCAGGTGTATTCCAACTGATGCTGATCACCAGAGGACTTAAACTGAAATGCACTCGGGCAAAGAAAGCTAATTGAACATGAGAAATGTGCAAGATTCAGTAATGCCAGCAAATTTCCTAAAACAAAACAGGTCAGGAGTTTTTTCAGCTAAGTCCTTTATCACAAATGGTTCTCGAGTATCTAATGTGATTGGTTAAGGGCCGCATGTGAGAGATATTCTATCAGGCACCTGCTGGTAAAATCAATACTAGGTTCTAGGTCTTAATATTTTCTTGTTTCACACTACTTAAAGATTATCAAAGCGGATTGTTACACTTGACCTGGTTCGATAATGTGAAATTTGCACGAAGAGTGCGGCAAGGAGAGCCCACACATACGCACACTCATTTCCTCACTTGACAAGTCAAACCTCAACAAGAGGTTTGAGACGCCCCCTCCTCATACAAACACGCAGTCCACCTCCCTGAATGTGCCGAGTTCCACGAAGTTACCAAGAACCACAAAAAAACAACCCTGATGAAAGAAAATCAAACACGTACTGTTTGATATTCTCAACTTGGAACACTGAGACACTCGCAATAAAATCTCAAAGGAAAACACGCAACATCTCGCACACTGTGCACGCACACTCTCACTTTTTGAAGTAATGCATGCATATCAGCTTGACCACAATAAGACGTGTTTTTCTCTCTAGTGAGCTCTCATGCAGCTCTGTGAACAGTGTGTGATGTGTGTGTTTCATGCCTCGCACTGTGCAGGGTAAACAACAAACCACATGAATTCAGTGTTTGATTAGTGCAGCAGAGAGACAGAGAAAGGAAAAAATGGAGATGGAGAGTGTATTGGGGAGTGTGTGAGTGTATGGCAGCCATCTGGCCATGTGGGGAGATGAGAGGCAGCTGGTGGTTGGAGCAAAGGGTCCCTCGCACCGTTCCATTCCTCTATCGTCAGATCTCCATGTTTACCCTGCTCACCACGGGGACTGAGGTACCTCATTCTCCCTAATCCAGCCAGCCTGCACAGCTCCGCGAGTAACGTCACGGGCTGGAAGGATGTTTATGTACTCCAGGATTTTGGGATGACGGATAGAGGGTGTGCAGAGAGGGGGGAGGGGGCGTGAGGCCGAGGTAGAAGGAGTGCCAGGTGGAGCTCAGACAGTAGTTCCTGATTAACCTTTCAACCCCACAGATTCTTTGGCGGATCCAAGCTCGTGATTATGTGCATGATCTTTACTCAAACCCACATTAGTCCTTTTTAAATTCCAGGCGAGATTTCAAGGTTTTGAATTATGCCATATAACTCATATAGAATTACAAGGAAATATGTATAAAGTGACGCATGAGGCATCTATATCTATTTATTTAGCTGACAATAAGTGTGACAGGTGCCATTCTGTTTTATAAATGCAGTGGAGCCTAAAAAATTCATTTAGATTTGATTATAATTCTTAATGTATGAGTGATGAAGCTCTGCGAACAGCATGAGCAAAATACTTTAAAGCTACTTAATAGAAAATCATAGGGGAATAGTAGGAAGATTAGTTTAAGTGGATAAACTGTGCTCAGGTCAGGGGAGCACAGCTGCTCCTGAAAATTGCTCATGTAAAATTAAATGAGTAGCTCACTAACATTTCAGAACTGCTCTAACCATTTTGTAAATTTGGTAATGTGCTTATAAAAAAAAATTTAAAAAGTAGGGCAGTAATTAGTATTGCTTTGTAAAAGTGAGCCCACATGAGCACTGTGTAAAACAAACTGTGTAAAACAAACCAGAAGAATAGCTGCGATTGGTTACTTTTCCACCACTGTTCCCTTGCCGAAGATTCCAATCCTACAACACATCTCGGAAACTTCAAGCCACACGAGCGAAACCCGGAGGATGTTTCAGTCTCTGTGGTGTGTCGTGCATCCAAAGTCCAACCTCAGAATTGAATCAAGCAATGAGCAGTGTCAAGCTTTCAACATATTTGAAAGTCATTCTGCAGACTGTTATCCAGATGGGTAGTGCCATACAGAGCCTGGACTTGGTTCAATGTTTTGCCTCTTTCATCAGAGCAAAATCACCAGCCGGTTTTTCCCCAGAGAGACCCAACTGCCTGAAATCCCAAACTCACCGGCAGGAAACAGCTAATGCCCTTTTAACCCTCTTTGCTTGTGTGCGTACGCATGATTTTTCTCTCCCTTTGGCCACAGTCTCTTTTCCCCCCTCCACCTGGAAAAAGTGACTCATTACTGTGAAAGCGTTCGTTCATGTAGGGGAGCGCAGAGGTACAGCTCAGTATTTCTACAGAGTCCCAGTCTACAGAGTCTAGCACTGTATCCAGCACCGTCTTGTTGCTGTCCCAGCGGTCTCACAGCCATAGCAGCAAAACATTCCCCTTCAGATCCAAATTTACACTCAACGGGACAGCCTGTGTAAATCAAATTGGATTGTCTGAAGGTAAGCATAAAAAAATTGTCTCAGAAGACTCTGCAAACATTTTCAATTCTAAATTCTTGAAATGAACTACTTCCACATGCTCTACCAGATGGTTGAGCAGCTTGCTGTACCGTGGAATCACAAATCCAGACAAACTGTAATATGATCCTGAGGAAGCTTCAAGGGATGGAGAAATCAGGAACATTCATATTTGATGATCTGTGTGCCAACTGCCAAGTCCGATTTAGTCTTTTTGCCTACATGGAATAGAGAGAATCATTTGTCTGGGAGCTTTAGCTGTTGTCAGTGTGATGGTAAACAAATTGTACTCATCGGTGAAAAACTGAATGACATCTGCCACCAACACAGCTGGTCCTCTGTGCTTACACTGACACCTTATGAGCAAGAAAGTGTTTAAGCAGATTGTTTTCATTGAAATCTTGAAGGCTGGAGAAATTAGAAAACATTCATATTTGATTACAAGACAGCTGTTTATCAGCCACAAGTGGATTTGTTTATCCTTTATCGTGCATTATTTAATACCGTGGCTTTCTAAACTCACCCAAGGACATCTGGTACAGTACAACTGATCGTCTGCCTATCATGACAAATAATGATGACTTAAATGCTCATCATTTCCCTCTGCAACATGTTACTGATCAGCTGCAAAGACCCAGAGGCAAAAAACAGAAGCACATTAAACTTGAACCATTTCACATGAGGCGGTGGTGTCCAAGTCTGTTCAAAATGAAGACAGGGCTTATAAAAGAAGCCAAATCTATCAGGAATTAGAGCTCTGTAGGGAATTTGGATGATTCACAATCAGCCAAGCAAAACATTAAATAGACACAATCGCACGCACGCACACACTGCCTCTTTCACTGCCTCTCCATGTGTGAATTCCCAGGCAACAGATTTCTGCTGGCATGGCTATAGAAACAAAGTATTGGTGGTCAACAGCTGCTGGTAGTTTAGGTCATTGTTGAACACTGACACATCCCACACATCTATCAGTGAGCTATTGGAAAATGTTCAGGTAGTGTAGGCCTGTTTAAACAAGTAATTCAGAGAGACTGAGCAACTTTCTTATGGTGAACATGTGGAATGACCTAGTTACTGTTCATTCAGTCATATCATGGGAACCCCACTAATCATACATATTTTAGGTTTGAGTCATAGAAATGGGATGATAAATGCCATAAAGTATTATTTTTGCCAAATTATAACTTGTAATATTCTCATAACACACTATGAGGTTTAGCTAAACAAGTAATTCAAATGAATTATGCTACTTTTGTATAATGTGGGAATGTTCAATTAATTAAGCCATATTGTGGGAGGCTTACTATATTTAGAGATATTTAGGTGCTGAGGGACAGAGACAAATAATAAAAAGCATAAAATATTTTGCCACCATTAGGCTATACATTCATCATAAAGAAAGGAGTCTCTTCAATCACAATTGTTGTAAAACTGTTTGAATTTCAAGTCTAAAATCTTAACTAGATGTCTATTTTAACATTTTGTCATCGATTTGTCGATTGTTTCATTACTTTACTGTGGACCATAAACATTTATCTAAGGCTTCTGTGTGTAATGTTCAACCATGATACTTTTCTCCTCGTCTCCTCGCTGTTCAAAGAAACTCCCGAAACATGCAGATGTGAAGAAGCGTGCTACGTGGTAGTGTGACACTGTACGTGATTGGCGGGCGGGCTCGTGTGTCTGGGAACCTGCTACTGGTTTTCCAGCCACACACACCCACACACACGCGCACTGCCCCAGACAGACAGACAGTCTCTCCACAGAAAACAGCAGCAGGGAAAAAAAACAAACTCTCCTTCCGCAGCTCAGACGCCAACAACTGTAGGAGAAGTGTAGTCGACGCGATGTTAAACACGAAATGCTACCGTTTACTGTGAGCAGACAGCTAACAGTAAGGAAGAGGCTCCCGAAAGAAGTGGGTGAACTGTGACAGAAGCTGGAGAAATCAACCCAGGGATTTGTGGTCCACACGTGGAAAGCATCGTTGAAACACATTGGTGAGTAACGTTAACGTCAAGCTGTAGCCTACTTTTGTTTTAGAAAATGTAATGGGCATAGTTGTAGTTTTCCGCATGGAAAAAGTTTAATTAACGTTTTGCACCGACGCAGGGAGAGTTGTTTGTGTTTAAATTGCGTCAACTGCTTTTCAGCCACTTTGCAGTGGAATCGGAACAAGTGTGCGCGCGCATATCTCATTAAGAGTTAGTGCACGTGCTGGTGTTGCACTCCACAGCAGGAAATACTTAATTTAATTTAACGTGACGCTTTTTCCTGATTTTATGAACTAAGCGTTGTTTGATAAATATTTCTTTAAGTTTTTAGGGAGCAAACCTGGTGATGAAGCGGTCTTACCTTTGTTTTGACTAAATTGGAATAATTGTAGTAAGTATTCATTTGCTGTACAAAATAAGTACATACAAAATACAGTACATTTTTCTTGTTTTATTTTACGGCGGTGAACCGCGTGTCCTTGTTTTTGGAGCTGTCTCTATAGTGAGGCTGTTATGGTAGTGTATAGCAAAGAACTCGGCATACATCCTGGTGTCATGTCTTAACTCGTACAATAGGCTATTTGATCAGAACAAGTCCCCGTCCAATAAGACTTGGAAGTGCAAATATTTCAGGGAATTTTAAGAGATTTTGGGTGTTGACCAACTTCAATAGCTGAGTATAATGATTGTAGGTTGCACTTCTTAATCATCAGTTTAGGCAACATGAGACATTTCTTTTACATGATCACAATATTAAATTACAAGACAACAATATCCCCACTCAATGTCTTAAAATAATATGGTCACATTTTGAGCCTGTAAGAAATCTGATGTTTGTGGTTTGTGCTGGTGCTAATGAACCATATGGAGTGAGGTGTTCAAGACAATCATCCTTTATGCTGGTGTTTTCTGCAGCAAAAATAATCCATATCTGATTAACATTAAGTCTTAAATGTTCAGTGAATCATTTGAACTGTCATTGGTGGTTGCATCTCTGAGTGTAACAACATTTAGCAGTCATACAGGCAAGATGAAAATGTGTTTTTGTTGCTGTGTGTTTTGAAATAAACAGCTGTTAAAAGCCCTTCGATAACACCTAAATATTTTCGGAAACAGACTTGTTTTGGCTTTTTTGAGAGGGTGCATTTTTGACATTTGTTCAAAGGCTTTGAAAAAGGATTTTATGAGCCTAAGGAGTTAAAATATTGTCTAAGTTTATGAAAGAGCATGTATTATTTGAAATTTTATGAAAACATGACCATCACTGAAATTAAAGATACAAGTCTTGAGTTTTCACTGTGACCAAATGTGAAGTCCCTTATTTCAATGTAATTTGAATATCTATCCAAAAAATGCTTGGGCTGGCTCTTTGCCGAGTCTAAAGAGAGGAAAAGCTAGTTGTATTTAAATGTGAGTGTCTCTGAGGAGCAATTACCACTTGTCTCCACTGGTGTATCTCTGTGACAGGTTTGGACCTGGAAGCCCGTTTGGTTCAGATTATCAGTGAGGCTCCTAATCCTGCCCTTGTGGCTCCCAGTGCTGTTATCTAACCCACTTGCGATAATATATTGCTTCTTCGTATGCAGGAGGGTTAGGCTTAATTTGCTCTGGCTCATCATAAAAGGTGAGTTTATACCTTTCCCCATACTTCACTGTCCAATTACAGCACAATGTAAACTGTTCAGCTGGCTCCCTCCCTGTGTGTCCACCACTTCTGCTTGTTCTGTCATCAGAGAGGACAAATATCCTTGAAGGCAGACATAAAGAGCCTTGTTTTTTTAGTGGATTGTATAGTAAAAAGAGGAAGAAAAAGCTGCCTGTCAGTGTTTCTGACAAAATGACACTAAGATTTAGAGTCCCCAAGGAACCATTGAGGCTGTGGTCACCACTCTTGCATCACAGAGATGATGTGTGCTGTGCTTGGATCATAAACAACTCCTCTGTTTTGCAATACATTAATAATGGAGAAGTTGTAGTTAGGCACAAGGCTGTTTATGTTTTTGTCTGCTTACCCAAGAGTATTTGCTGATTTTATATAGTATATCATCCAAATCTATAATTTTGGCTATGTACACTGACACAGTGCTGTTGCTTTGAGATTATTCTTATGCAGCCTAATTGTACATACACTTTTGTATTGTTACTGCCGCAAGCCATTGCCCAGCCTATTATTGAGTCACTGGTAATGATACCTGCAGAGGTGTTCAAGACATCTGTTGGTAAGTGCTCTACGTTTGCTTTTCTACTGTTTGCCAACCACTGTTCAGTCCTTCCCAAATGTTTTATTGCCATAAGGTGCTGAGCTATAAATAATGAGCTCATTTGGGGGCCTTGCATGTCATTCATTGATTAGTGGTTAGTCCATGCCTCCCTGGCACTGTATAACATTCACTAGTAGCTGAGTCACCCAGGAAAATGGATGGATGCCTCCATATCCTTGCTTTTTTGAGGGAACAGTGTAAGGTTGTGTTCAACCTGCTGCTTCGATGGAGAGCTATTCTTTTTTGTGATAAGTTGTTTCCATTATTTCATAACATAGTGGGGCAAAGGTATCTATTCTTGTGTACGTTGTTGTTTACCTTTTGTTCCACACTATATAATGTACGTTGGTTGCCATACATATTGTAAAGAAAGGAACGGCCCACATTAAAAACACAAATTACACAAAGAGGAAGGATGAGCAAAGAACAATTAAATTATAGGAAGCACCTCTAGGCAAAAAATGGTTTTGATCCTGCTCTCTCTCTTGCTCCTCCTCAATAGTGCTCCCCTCTCTGAGAGAATTCACACAAAATGCTGTAACGTTCCCCCAAGAATGAAGGGCCCTATAAATTACAGTATTAACATCATTCAGAATAGCCAATTATGGATACTAACATAGGTTTTAGGTTTTCCCCCTCATGATCCCTGTGCTGAGCACACACCTTTCATCTGTAACCTAGAATCTATGTATTGCTCAATTACATGACCTTTCTTGTAATTTCATGTCTTACCAGCACTGTCATGCACACAGTGTACAGTTTAGATTTGGATGTGCGTAATCTAGATACCCTGCTCTTTCAAACACAAAACAAACAATAAAAAAAGACTGTTTTTCACCTGAGTCTGCTGAAAATGAAGCATGAGGAGAGAGCAGCTCGGAACCTGCTGCGTCTGAGTGTCAAAGCAAACAGAGTGCTAGTTACTGAATGTGAACTGTGGTTGAGCTGTAGCACTGGTTGTCATTTCTGTTGGGAAAGTTTGTGATAACTTGTACTGTAAAGCCTGGTGATATTGTTTAATATCGTAGTTTAAACTCCTTTGGCCCAGTTTACTTGTTTTAATACCCCTCACTTTATATATTGTAGTGCAATGGCATAACAGATTTGACTAAATCAAGCATATTTGAAGATTCTTGGATGTCTGAGTTGGCAGAAAAACTGTGTTAATGAGCTTTGCTGACTGGCATGCATATTGAGTTGGTTCTGATGGAGGGATTTGATCGTAGATCTCAAAACTTGGACAGCCAAATCAGGTCGTAAGTCTTACTCAGCTTGAATAGGCTGTCCTACCCTTGTGCTTGTTTTTGACTTTGTAGATGAAAATTTCATCTGTTGTTCTGTTGTGCACTTTCTGCAAGGTTATTACAGAGAAAAAGTCCCTAACTCAATGTTTCACAATACAGCCATAAAGTACAGTGATCAGTGAGAGAGAGAGCTGTTTGATTCCCCCAAGTGCAGTATTGGAGTGGTACATTGTAGAAATACTGTTTAAAGCATGGGCTCTCTTTCTCTGACTGGTCTTTTGAAATACCAGAGAGGGTTTTTCCTCAGCATGAACTGGACTGTGTATTTGTACGACATAATAATTCTTGGTGTTACTGGCATCTTATCAACAAACATGATACTTTTCAGTGGCCTGTGACGGAAACATTTTTATTGCGCATGTCAAGACAGAGTTTTATCTCTTATTTGTAGCTTGCTGCTGAACTAACGTAGGATTAGATTTTAATGCATCACATGCTACACTGACAGCACAAAAACAGCAGGGTAGACGGTGTAATCTCTTAATTATTTTAAGAGAGGTAACATTCACCAGCTGTGCATGTGGTGATCTTGGAGACCGCTCGCTCAAAGTGTCACTGTTGGATGACATCACTCTCTAAAGATGTAATCCATGAAGATGTGTGCACTGTGGGAGGTTTTTCTGTAAAATCAAGGCCGTGTACAGAGTCATGAGTCAACATGAAAGACGTTCATGAGAGGCAGCAGATGAGTGTTTTTTTTCTTTCATACATCAGAGTGCAGTTTGGAATGAAAATTTGCCTTTGAAAGTCACCAAAGTCAGTAAAATGTGAGTGGGTGGAATAGATACAGAGAATAAATGGCTTCAAGAGGAGGATTATATTATCATTTTGAGTTGGTTATCTTGTCATTATGCTCTAAATTTTGCAGTGCAGTTTTGTAAATCATATAATCTATTATCATTATATCATTTAGCTAAGATTTTGTCTATACCCTTAACTGCAAGTGATATCTCTAACATTGCTTTCACGCCCGTTGTCTGCTGCTGGTAGATGGACTGTAATTTGTTTCCTTGTTGCTGTCTTACCCACAAGCAAAAATGCTTGTTAACACACCAGAGCAGTGCACTTACGGTATATGTTTACTGAATGTTTTTTTAAGAATGCCATTGTCTCTGTCTCTCAAATCCTGCACATTGGTCTCTAGAAATACTCTGTACTGTAAATTTTAAGAATGTTCTTTTTAAAATATTAGGGAAAGACTGTTCTTAACGTTCTTTTTTGAAAAATAGCAATGTCCTGAAAACACTCCTACCTTTCTGTTTTTTTTTTGTTTTTTTTTAATTTTCTCAGCATTAGTCAAAGGCAGTACTGCTCTTACTTGTGCTGGGTTTTGCAATTCTGGCTATGTACTCAAAAGGGGTTTAGGAGCTTTCCCATATCCAGTTTTATCAGAGGACTGTAGATATGCAAAGGTTAGGTTGAAGCTGTCTAAAAAGATAAATCTTAGATACACTAAGTTAAGGATAAGTTATAATTCCCATTCAGTGGTGGGCATTCTAAAGATAAAGCAAAAAAATGTGTTTTCCCATGCTTATCACATTTTTCTGGTGCATGTGCACACATAAATGTTTGTGTGTTTAACCCCTGCCCTTACCTTACCTTAACCTAAACTTGATTCTAACCCCAACCCTTAAACCAAACCTTAATCCTCAAACAGTCCTTTGAAATGGTGAGAATATCCTCACTCTCCAAAAGTGCTCTCACTCTCATGGTACAGATCTAATTGGTCCTCACAAAGATAGGACAAGCGCACACACACGCATAGAAAACCAGCATGTCACTCTCTCACTAGTTTCAGTTGACTGTCAGTCTGCCTTACTGCACATATTTTCATATTTAGGTGATTGATTTCTAATGGCTCCCTTTATAAATAATTACCACAACAGCTGCCAGCATTTCAGTTACTTGAGCAGCAGAGTAAATATACTTGATCATTCCTTCTTGATGGAATTTTTAGCTTGTGCCAACTGTTGGTTTTTACACCTCTCCAAAGGGAATGAAAGACACACCCTGAATTCAGTGTGATTACGGCCCGTATCCTCCACCTAGGGCCCATTTCCTCTGCCTCTGCTGCTTCTGTTGCTGTGGCAGGTTCTCATGGACCTGTGAGCACAGGCTGGAGAGCATGACTGTGTTAAGAAGTGGCTGTGCAGCTAAGTCAAAGACCCCACTCCAATGAGGTCCCAGGAGAGCTGTGAGCATTTCCTGAACAGATTTCATGCGAACGCACTGGGCAAGATGGAAACAAGGGAACGAGCGGCAACAGTGGTACTTCTTTGGCGTGGCTTGGCAATACACAGCCACAGTTAATGAAGTGTTTTTTTAAAGGGGCTCTCCTTGGAAATGGGGTGATAAGCAGCTATAAAATATATGTACGTCGTTTTCACTTCCACAGCAGATCCTTGGCTTCCACGAATACTACAGCTCAGCCCTGCACCGTGAGCATTGCAGAAGAATGCTCAAAGCCTAACCATAAGCAACGCATAGTAGCTGGCTACAATTCACTGTCCTGGAAGCTCCTGTCTGCCTCCTCCTCCTCTTCCTCCTTGTTTTCTTCTAGCATCCCCCATCCCTCCCTCCATCCCCTTATCCCTCCTTCCCGTCATGCTTCAGTGGGCCACCTGAGGGGGGATATGCACTCCCCTTTGCCTGGTGACAGCCTGCAGGGAGATGTGGGCAGCTTTCCATCTCAGCTGGAGGATGGCAGAAAGAGGCAGAGATGCTGCAGATTAGGGCTTCCACAGAAAGGAACTCCACCGGTCTGATTTGCTGCTAGAGAGCAACAAGACAAATTACTTTTCTATAGTGAATTTAGATTGTCTGGTTTTTGTTTTCTTCATCGTACGATCCAGTTAAGTGAGAAGAGGTGAAGATATAAAAGGATAGATTGCGAGGGGAAGGGTTGCACTCATCTGGGGCAGTTACTGTGTAAATGAGTATGATTCAGAATCTCTTTTTACCATTGTTTTGCCACTCAACAAGGAAAATTAATATCTTTATTACTCCTGTTGTCCTTAAATTGTGTAGATGGTTTGGAAGCTCTGATACACACAAGGATTTGAACTACCACCCTTGGTGAACATGTAAATACTGGATTCATTCAGAGCTGACCTCAGAATATTCACAAAGCTTGTTAAATTCAGAGGGCATTGTGTCCAAGTTTTTTGAGTGCTGGACTGTTTGTGCTCTTTGAGGTTGGACTGACACAGTACAGGTTTTGCAGTCTTTATCAGAGTTCAGTATGTCTTTGACACAAAGCTCAAAGCAGAGTTTTGCACAGCTTTTACATGGTGTCTGGCTCACTTAAAAGGCTGCAATCGGAATAGCTTTCCTGCTTTTGACAGCGTGTAAAACAACTGTGTGCTTGTGATCAATGGTGTCATATTTTTATTGGAAAGTTTAGGTATTTTCCTAGCTGAAGTGTTGAGATGTTGGACTTCTTTTGAATTCCGAAGAAAGACATTTATTAGCATTTCTAATTACTCTCCACAAAACCTTGGCCTGGGTTTTTGTTTACTGAGAAGTCTTGCATTGCTGAAATAGCAGAGAGGATGGGAGATTGATAGAAAGGGAGAATATGCAATAATGCTGTAAACAGTCTCGTACAGAAACAAGTGCACAAAACAAAAGGTTTGTAAATGTAGAACTAGTGTAACTACAATTACTACTACTTATAATAGTCCTTATAATTCATCATAGTAGTCTTTTTTATAAGGAAAATGTGTTTATATGAAAACATTCAATTGGAGTTTCATTGTGAGTGCCTAGTGATACATGCTTTGTCATTTTTAGTAAGTAAAATTTCCACATTACACTTTTAACCTAATGCAGTGAGCCATTCGTTTGTAACAATTCCTCCAACATAAATGACTATATAGGTTGGTTGTCCAAACCCTTGGATGTGACCCACAGGAGTGTACCATTGGCAAGTGCAACGAACCACCGTCATCATGGTTATAACAGTACATTCTACCTTTATGAAACATGTGATATTGAATTTTTACCTGTGACTGTGTCAGAGAGGCAGTGATTCAGCTCAATTTGGCAGCCTTCTGTATTACACACATTATCTTTGCCTGTAATGCCATTCAGTATGAGACCACCAATAAATTTTATCGTAGAAATTAACATAGAGCTCAGCTCAGACATTCAACAAAAAAATGAACAATAGTAGTCTCATGAAAGTGCTACTTACTGCGGGGCTACTTATTAGATTGCATTATGTTGCTGCAGTGGTATTGTGTCCAAAGGTTTTATGTTCCCCTGCTGTTGATGTGTTCCTTCTGGCTTGACGTAATCCTACTTTAACAATGACCACAAGTCAACAATGGCAGCCATTCAGCCACTGAGTTTGGGGGTGGAGAAGTTGGCTTGTGCACTTCTAACTCCTCATGTAAACTTTGTGCTCCTGCAGGTTTTGCTTTTATCATAATCAGTCAATGAAACTTTGACTCCATTTGGTTCACCTCAGCAGCTGAGCATTCATTTAGAAAACAGATTAGTGTTACTGGTGTGTTGTTTATTAGCTAGCCTGTTTGATGAAGGCATTGTTTTGCAGTCTGGCTTGCTTTGCCTCGTAGTACAGTAATTCATCCACCGGTTGAGACAGACAGATTGGCTCTTCAGGGTGGCCTGTGTGGTTAGGAGTGCTTTTGCTTCTCAAGTAAATGTGTGTGGCTGAAAAAATGATTAAGCTCCATAGTTCTCATGAGAGCATTTGGACCTAATTAACCCACTTCTTCATGACTTAGGCACAGTTGGGCCAACTAAGGACAGTTTTCCCTGACACCAACAGACATACAGCTGTGTGTCTCATAGTACATTCCCAGTCACCATTAAATAAATTCACCAATAGATGTTGGTTGTAATAATAGAAACTGTTATACTGCTGTTTACTGTTTACTGCTGTTTCGTATCAGTGAGACTTACCAGTACTCTTAACAGTGTCAGCTGAATTCAATTAATTTCTGCAAGTGGCAGTGCCTCCAAGCAGAACATTGGCAAAGCATTTAGAGAGATCGAACATGGAGACTGGCTGCAATACAGAGAGATGCAACCATTCTACATTTTGGAACCCTTTACTCCCTTTGTCATTATTTTAATGTCCTATACACTCTGAGCAATAGAGAGTGTACCAATCTAGATTGGCTGTGTGTGTGTGTGTACTTTTGGAGTGATTTGACTAAGGCTGTGAAAGCACAAAAGATGTCAGCTTTATAATGTTAACAGAATGATTTCTTCTGCTCACGTCTGCACACATTTTAGCATGTCTTTATCTTTACACAAAGATTGATCCGAATTGCAAACTTTCTCACTTACCTCCAGTGGGTGCTTCCCTGGGGGCCGAGTGGCCCTTAAGGGTCACAAGATGAATCTTAAGCAGTCATGAAATTATAACTGAAATATGAAACAAGAAAGAAAGAAATCCTGATATTGAATATTTATTTGTGCCTTTCTTTCAAAATATGGTATAGTTGAATCATCAGGCCTTTAACTGCTCACAAATCTTTGACTAGGAGTCACAAGTATGGCTTTATAATGAGAGGTCACAGGCAAAAAGGGTGCATGCAGATAGTTTTGGTTTTATTACCTCTGCCATGGAGGTAATATTACACAAAAAGTACTCGACCGATATGCACTGAACTTGGTGGAGGGATGGCACATGGGCCAGTAAATCACCCATTTAAATGTGGGACAGATTCGGTGGTCCATTCGGAGTTGTTTGGTTATGTTTTGAGTTATCCATCTCTGATGATTTCAGTGAAGATTTTGTTTGTGCAGCTCACACCATTTAAATAATATGTTTAAAAATTCAACGGTACATATCTTTCCAGAATCACTGTCCTGTTATTTCTAGATAATCCACAAAACACAGTTTTAATAGGGACTTCTTCATGGGATGAAAGAGTTGTATATCTCAGAACATGGACAAATAAACTAACTGGGTGGCCAGATAACAGTTGAGGCAAGTGAGAAACTTTCTTTTTTTTGTAATTTAGGAGACTTTTGGAAAGTGGGACTTTTGTGTACTGTGACTAGTTAACCTGGTCCGTCACTTCTGCTTAATTTCATTTGCTGTTTTTCCTCTTTTCCTCTTCAGTGAAGAGTGGATCTCGTCCTCTCCACTTTTACTGTTTGCCACCTGTTCACTCCTGCCTACTTCAGAGATGAGTGCCAAGTTAGCCATCAACAAGGAGGTGTTCATACCCCACGACGAGAAGATGCTTGCTGCTGTGCAGGTGAAGCGGAGGACCAAGAAGAAGATCCCCTTCCTGGCCACTGGTGGTCAGGGAGACTACATGACCTTCATCTGCCTCTCAGGTCAGAACAAATTAATCTTCTCTTCTCTTCTCTTCTCTTCTCTTCTCTTCTCTTCTCTTCTCTTCTCTTCTTCTTCTCTTCGTATATGCTATACTGTTGCCACCCAATATAACATTCAGCACGTCTCCCTTAATTCTCCTGCTAATGTTCACACTGATGAGCATGTTTACATTTCCTCTGCCAATAGAATGACACACTAAATCAATTTGCTGCTGGGCTTTAGGTCAATCCTTTTTAAATAGATTAGATTTGAGCTGAAATTGAATAATTGCTTCACCAGAAATTGAGGTTTAAATAATTTTGTTTTTTTTCTATATTTGAACATTAGCTGAGATATTGCTTGCTAATTGAATTAGCCATGCATATTATTCACGAGGAGACTAGCTAGAGCCTATTAATTTCAGTGCCAGCAGAACTGCTTATGAAGATCAATGACACTCCTTAATCCTACTATTTTAATGTGTATTAAATTCTGCTTTGGCATTATCTGATCGTATCACAAAAGGTTCAAAGTTACTTAATTGTGACTTGGAGGAATTTAGAGTATATCAGCACAGCACAAAGACCAGTAGAGCTTTCTCTGTTGAGGATTCAAATTCAAGGTTGCCTTCCAGTAGTTACACTGCTGCACACTGAGCCTCTATGTTTACACTCTCGGGTATGAACACATAAAAGTCACAGATTAACCACACTGTTCTATGAACGGACAGTGCTTCTCTGAACAGTTTACAATGAGTCATATCTCCTTTGATGTGAAAATGAGTCTTGATGGATTTTCATCTGTTGTAATGTGTGTAGTGTAATTGAAATGCATAAATAATCTGACATACCTTGCTTGAAATTTTTAAATCATGATTGTAAGAGAATATCTGACAAAATATGGATAAATTTGAGATTAGTCTTGAGTGAAAAGTTGCTGGTTTGAATCCCAAATGCCGAGAAAATTGGGGAGTCAACTTTGTCTTACCTTTGAGTCCTCCACTATTCATATTTTTTTATTATTTCTCAGTTTTTTTTATGTGTTTTCATAAACTTGAAATGGATGATTTTTGTGTCTGCTATTAAGTTCAATAGAATACACAGAACAGTACATGGTAGCAAAGAATGGTATTTTTCACATCATTACATGTCAACAACGGCCAAGGGCACCCTGCAGACTGTAGACGGGCATAGTGATTTGGGTGTTGTCTTTTTGCAGTGCATCTATGTGTGAACATATCGAACCCATGTGTTGGCAAGAGGCCCCATGCTTATGTGTCCTTCAGCAAGACACCACATCTTCCATACCAGCTCTGAATGCTGTTCCTTAGGCTAGGCCTGTAACTAATGATTGTTTTCATTATTGAGGAATCTTGTGATTTTAAAAGAATTACTCATTCATTTGTTTAGTCTTTAAGGATGTGTTGATCGTACGATTGCTCGATAAATTATTCAAATCATCAATCAGTTTTCAAAATTAGTTGTAATTGGGGCACCTTTGTTGTGGCTAGGGGTTTATTTAGAATTATTATTTATTTATAAGTATTTATTTAGTGTTGCCCACTCTTTGTTTAGTAATTGCACATTTAATCTCAGATTGTCTCGGTGGGGCTGCTCATTCTTTTACAATTCAAGGCTGTGATGCTACTGGCCAGTTTGTCTTGTGTGTGTGTGTTCGTGTGTCAGTGTAACCTGCGGAAAGAGACAGACTGACTGAGACAGGGTCAGTCTTAAATCCCTGGTGACATGTCAAGGGGTATCCAATTTTAACTGCCTTAAAGTTGCTATCAGTGAAGGATTTACACCCCAACTGGCTGGAGTAAGATAAGTTGGCTACAGTCAGTGACTCCAACCTTTCTGTAAGGATGGAAAAACTTAATGTTGGACTGTATGACTAAAATGACTGTGGGCTTTTTTGTTTATTTTTTTATGCAAAAAAAAAAAGAGTAACTGATTAGGTGCGTTTTCTGTTTTTGTATACAGGGGATGTAAGTGGGAGGCGAGGCTCTCATTTTTTTTTTAACTGCCATTCATTCACTGACACCTTTGCTTATTATGAGCAGAGACATCAAGCTGTTTCATCCTTGTGCTGAAAAGCCTTTTGTTGATTTAGTGTTGATCCTTTTTAAAGGAGGAACATTTTGTATCCCATTATCCTTTGAAGTGCAATATTCTGTATGTGTGAACGTTGTTACATAATGTTCTAAATCAAATCAAGAAACTTCATGGTCTATGGCCACTACTACCATCACCACAAGTCGCCCAAGTTTATCTCCAGCCATAGTTTGCCTTTTAAAAGGACTTTTTCTCTCTGCTCTATATTAAGTCTCCTGACCAAGCTGCTCCCTGGTATCACATGAGGGAGCACAGTAGTGAAGGCAAGCACTGTCAAGTAATTCACATAGTCATGTGGCATTTCTTTAAACCAGCCAAGCATTGTTCTGAGTTTTATGTGTGTGTGCCTGTGTGTGTACTGCATAGCCAAACCATGAGTGAGAAACCAGCCTGCGCCCGCCTCCCAGCACATTGAAGATACAAGACTAGTGTGTGTGACTTTGAGTGTTCACCATGTGTGTAACCATGTGAAAGCACTGTGTATGTATATAACGGTGGGGGAAGGGTCACTGACAGTCTCATGGCTACAGTAGCAGATAGTTGTGGCCTGAGGGCCATATAGTGGCAGAGTTATGTAATCTGTGGCATGTCATGGCTAAAGGAGGCCTAGCTATAATATAGAGACAGCCACGGGCTCTTCACTCTCAAGCTGAGCAGGGTGCTAGGACAGAGCACCAGACTATCACTGCTGCTCTAATTTCAGGATCATATGCTCTTATACTGTCATAAGATCTGAGTGAATACAAGAGAAACAAGATATTTTAAATTAATGTGACTTGAAAATACCCTTACTTCATTTTTTAAGTAATGACTGTTGTCAAGTTTCTTATCTGTTTGGAATGACTCGCTGCTTTCACAGTCATGTAAAATAGATGTTATGCAATTGACCTTGTAACCACAGCAGTCAGTGTGAGGCATTTTTTCAGTGTGGGTGAGCCTGAGTCTTTGAATTGGCTGTTTTGTTGAGAACATGGCTATTTGTCTTAGGTAGATAGCTGAATAACTCAGTGGAACGAAACGCCTGGATAGGTGCCACTTGGAGAGCAGTGTTTCTCGTTTTGGAATTACATGTGGCTCCAGGAATACAAGAGTGGTTTGACTCTGTTTTTTGGGTTTGGGGTTAAATCTTGGAAATTACTCATATGTCAGCAAAGCAGAGCAATACTATTCTAGACTTCTGTGTCAACACAACCTGTAGCAATAAACTGATTTTCATTAGAGGAGGCTTGTAGTCCACAAGGTGTAAATGAGTAGTATCTGAATTGACTTAAACATGGCTACTAAACATTTAGGGTGCATGATTAAACTCAAGTTCATAACCTGATTGGTGTGGTTTAAACAAACTGGTCCATTTTAACCACTTTGAAAAACCAAACCGATTGTTCTGATTCCTTTTTGACATCATGTTGCACTATTGAGTCAAGATGGATTATGTCCGTCCTCTTTTTCTAGCCGTCCGTTGTCATTTATTACAAATTAATATCAGATAAACTCTCATCTAATGTTGATTATCTAACCATGTCTGTGAGAATTATGATCTCTACATGACCACCAGGGGAAATGTATGTCTAAGCTTTCCCAACAACATCAGGGATCATGATGATATAGGAGTGTGCTGGAGCAAAGCCACAAGATCAACATGGACCAAGTTGGTTAGCGAGCCTTCTCTTTGATCACAGGGCCTCATGCGGTGCCGTTATGGCTGAACCTCAGGGCTAAAACACTGGACCGCCCACAGAATGTTTGGCTGGAGAGAACTGAGGCCAGTTGAGCTAGATAAGACACTGTGAAAGGTTCACTGGAGTAGCCTACTAGTCTACAAAGTTTTTTCATTTTTACTGATGAAAAAACTATGTAGACACACATTTTCATTCCTTTCCCACCCCATTTCTCCTTCTTGTTCTCATGATTTTCACCACCTGTTTTTGCCCTTGTTGTTTACATATGTGCTGTTTGTGTGTAACTACTACAGGTTGGCAGCTTTGGGGAGAGGCTTAAAGCATCTTAGGAAATGCCATTCTATTGATTTCTGAACTAGCTAACCTTACTCAATCGATGTAAGCCAGCACCATACTCCCAGTTATCTGTCACTAATACATCCTCTGTGTGTTTGACTACGCTGATGTTTTATGTTAATATGTGAATTTCCATGTGGGAAGCAAGTGGGTACCCATGTTTATGGGTGTATTCATGCACCATGAGTTTATGCAGGCATGTTATTTTGTGGGTCTGTCTTTAATTTAATGTGTAGGCTGTGTCATACGTATATGATATGCTGCGAAATCTCTCTTTGTGGTGTTTGTCCATGTTTGTGTTTTTTGTTTTTGATGTTTTAACTTATTTTCCATCACACCTGATCAATTGAAAGTTGAACAACATAAAGCAGAAAGGATCTATTTAATCATATGATACACAATTTGATTTGAGTATCATTAACTTATGACAGCTGTATACATTTCTATCTTACACCCATGAGTCAACAGTGAGCCCTGTTTGTTGGAGGGACAAAGATCTCTTACTTTCTGTCAAAGAAATGTAACACAGCCCAGTATCAGTGCTTTCTCCAAGGCTCTTTAGAATAGAAATTACACAGTTACCATGCAAGTTTGTGTATTGCACTTTCCACTTAATTCGTCATCAGTGTCCTCGTAGCTATTGATTAGCTGGTGAGATGGATGGGCAGGCAGATCGTTTAGATTACTGGCATATTAAGCTGCTTAGACCAGTAAGAAAGTCAGGTCAATTATGACCTTGGTTACTCAGTCCAATACCACATCAGTCTAACTTTATGTATTCATAAACATACATTTTAAGATGTGTTTCCCAAGGTTAGCCCAACCTTACAAGTCCAGATGGAAACACAAATGAGAGACCATGAATACTTATTTATAATGATCTGGGAGGTG